CGTCGTGTCTATCTCCACGGGCAAGCTACCGCCACCGTTAGAAGTCTCCAGCAGGACTCATTACCGCCGCACCCCTGTTATCGGTGCGAGCTGCGAGCCGCTGTAGCAGGCCGCGCCGGCGTCGCTGAGCCCGCTGGTGACAGAAGCTGGGCCCCTGCGCGCTGCGCGCCCGCCCCGGCCGCCGGGGCAGCCAATGGCAGGCCAGGCCAGCCAGCCAGCCGCACCGAGCCTCAAGAAAGCAGTCTTAAATCAGCCCGTTACTCAGGATTTGTGGTTGGGCCGGGCCGCTGCTCCGCTGTGCCGGCGCGGCGTGCTCTGAGCTGTCCTCCGCGCTGGTTGCCACCGCACTGATAAATTGAGGCGGACCTGTTTGTTATCTCGTCCCGGCCATATCCTTCCGCCGTGAATTATTTTAGCCGCCTCGTCTCGTCCTGGCCGTAATGCCTGCCGCCTTTTGGGGGCGTTTCGTTTGGTTTGGATGAACAGCGCGTCGCGCGGCCAGCCCCCACCGCGGACGGCGACCTCTCACCTGTCTCACTCGCTCCCGTGGGGCGGCCCGGAGGGGTGCGAGAGAGACAGAGCAGCCTCCAGCCCGTCGTCCTCCGGACAGCCGCTCCGTCCTTGGCGTGACGTCTTCATCGGGCGGGGCGCGGGGCGGCACCGACGGCTCGGCGGGCATGTGGGAGGCTGCGGCACGCGCTGCGCCGCCAAGCCGCCACGCCGCGCCACGCCGCATTCGCGCACCTCAACAGATGACCGTAATTTATGGGGATCCAGATTCATATTCATATTCAAAGGCGCGCGCGCATTAAATCAGGCCGCTTGCTTGGCGTTCGCGGTTCGCGCTTCGCGGCGCGCTTAACCTTCTTCACTTAGCTCCCCGCCCACGCATTCCAACCCCTTGCCTTTGCGCCGGCCCGTCCGCGCCGTCTCTCTCGCACTCGTGGGGCGCCCGGCACTGCGCGAGAGAGACAGAGCGACAGGGAACGCTGTGACGAATCGGTCCGCACCTTATTTTTCGCACGTGCCAAACCGTCCTCCCAGGGGCGCACTTTTGATCCCACGTCGAGTGAGGCCTGGAGCCTGCAGGCTGATTCCGAGAGTCCGTTTTTGTCTCTCTGTCTCTCTCGCACCTGCACGGGGCGCCCCACGAGTGCGAGAGAGACAGAGACTCTCGGAATGAGTCTGCGGTGGCCAACTTCGGCCTCGGACCTCCGTCTCCGCCACTGCAGTGACCGTCCGCACCGTCCGCGTCCACGGCGCGGTGCGCGATTCGCGGATGTTCTTCCCCTCCTCCGTCATCCCTGCCTCCGTTTTTCCGTTTTTTGCCTTTTCCCTCTCTCGACGGCAAAGTTTGATATAATGAGCTGCTCTCCGGGGAGCCGAGGGGGTCGTGCCCGCGCGGCCACAACAACATCGCTTAGGTATGTCTGCCGCTTTAGTAAGCCGTGTTTGTATTTTTAATGCGCTCTTCATTATATCTATGTCTTATTTCTTTTCCCTGCTCCCTTGTTTTTCTGCTGTGCCGGCGAGGGGCGAGGGCCATGGCGAAGGAGAAGGGTTGCTGCGATTCCACCGACTTTGCATTTGCACCCAGGTTCCTGCGGGCTGGCCTCGCCTGGCCTGGCCTGCCCCACCCTCACCAGACTTGTGGCAAGCGCGCTGGCTGCACGGTACTGGCGTGGCGCGGGCCCTGCCCGGAAATGACAAGTTTAGAAGCTTTTTAGGCGGTCGCGATAGCGTGCGAATGGTCTCCCGGCCGAGAAGAGAAAAAAGGACACCTCTCGATCGGCCGGCGCCGGGACTCGAACCCGACTTCGGCCCAACTCACAAACAGTTTTCCTATTTAATTTTTCTAATCTTCGGTGTGTGGCGCTTTAAAAGACGTGACTCGAAATTCTTGGAAGATCGTTAAGTTGACCGGGTCCTGCCCCGTCGCCAGAGATCCTGGTTTGATGCCCTCTGGCGGCGAGGTCGAGCAAAGCCCCGATTTTTGTAGTGCATCTCAGGCAGACAGCCCCTTTCTCCGCAATCCCTTCTCTTAATTCCTTTTTTTGCGCCCCGTCCTCGTCCTTGGGTCCTTCGCCTTCATCGGCACCCCTCTCGCTGCCCCGCCCCGCGGCCTCGCGGCCCCGCGGCCTCGCACTGTTCCTTCCGCGCCATGTCACCGAGGCGGCTTCCTAATTATTATTCCCTAAGCTTCGTTTTGTTTTCGCTCCGGCCTGCTCGGCCAGCTCGGCTGGAACCCATTTTGCGACTAATCCCGCCTCCCGTTTAATGAACTTATTCTTTTTTTAATCCCCCCGATATTTTGATAGGCCGACCGACGCCGATCCGAGGCGACGCAGGGCAGAGCGCGGCCCAGGGCGCGGCCCAGGCGACCCAGAAGAATCCCTCAGGTTTCCCGCTCCTCGCCTTTTCTTTGTTTCTTTTCATTTTCTCCAAGAGGAAATGCGGAGAGCGCCGACGCGATCTCCATTCGGCTCGTCGGACGCGATGGAAGCGAGTTTTCGCGGTGAATACGAACCGATCCCTCTGTCTGTATCGCATCGAGGGAGCTTCGGTCGGTGTAAGCAGAGCAAAGCAGAAGGAACGGCGTGGGGCGCGACGCTCGCGGTCCGGGACGATTAAAATAAGATCGAAAACAAACAAAAACGGGGAAATTCTTTAATTTGGTCTCGTCATAGGTCAGAGCGGCCCGGCCCCGCCCGGCCCCGCCCTCCGCGGCCGCGCCACGCGTCTACAGCGCCACGGGGTTTACTTTTTTAAGACCCCACTTCCAGCGGTGCATCTTCTTAATTCTTTCCCTCGTTATAATTTTCATTCAGCTCATCATCGTTGCCCTTTTTCTCCTTTCTTCCTCTGTCCCTCTCCTCGCTCCGAGCGGCGCGCGCGTGCGAGGAGCTTGTCCGTCGTCTTGATGGGCCGCGCGCCCCGCCATTTATTTACCCGCTACACTGCAGTGCACTCCACGGACTCCACGGCGATGCAGGGGATTAACGGCGGTTCGCCCCGACGAGATTTCTGATGAGATGCCCGGCGCCACCAGGCCGCCACCTCAAACACCGCGCTCCTTCGGCCTTCATTTATTTTCTCTCTTTTTCCACGATGCGTCCGGGTTTGTCTCCTACTAGCTGCAAACACGCGGAAGAGAGTCGCAAGCGTGAGGGCGAGTTTTCATGTGTGTGTGAGTGCGGGGGGGGGGGGGCGTACGATTACAATTCTGCATCTTCGTTGTAAGGGCCCTTCGGTGACGCCTGTCGCTACACAACAGAGAGTGTGTGTTGGTGGCTGTGTGAGGATAACAGACTCCGTTTTGCTTCCGATCTATTTCATTCCCGATACACGACACGCCGCTCGCGGGGGCGGTCGCCACGCCCTCCCGCCATGCCCTTTGTCCGGGCCAAGAGGACCGGCAGAACTAATCCCCCGCCAATGAAACCCGCAAAGAGGGAGAGGGACAGGCAGAGAGAGAGGCCGCGCGGTGGACGGAGATGGAACATGAAGGCGGAGCGCAGATTCCACTTAATTAAAATCGAACACATCTTCTTTTCTTCGGCCAAGAAATGGCAAGAAGAAGGAAAAAAGAGGGAGAGAGACAGAGCGACGTGCCTGGGAAAGGGAAAGCTGACGCCTAGACACCGACGTCTTGCTTCTGTTTACCCTTCAGCAGGGGGTGGGCGCGTGCTGCGTGCGGCCTCCGGAAACAGATTGATAGCAGCGCGCGTAGTCTAGGGGTAGCGCACGTGACTACTAACCCGAGAGTCGCGGGTTCAACCCCCGTCGGTGCGCGGTCACGCCGGAATTTTATTTTCCTTCTGTGCACCACGTCGGAGCCGTGTGGAAGTGCTCCCACTCGCAGACACATGCAAACGACCCGGCGAATCGGAAGGGAAGGACACCGGCGGCACGTCGCGAGTCCGGGCAGCAGGCTTCGTCCGCGACCCCCCCCCCCCGGCCGACCTGGCGGTAAGGCCCATTCCGGGGAGACAATGCGCGCCACGTCCTGCACACCGAGGACGAGAAGACGCTCGCCAAGTTTCTGGTCGCTGGAGACGATGTGCAGCAAGCGAAGGAGGGCGCTCTGGAGGACACCTGCCTCGCCTAGAAGGGAGCGCCCAGTCCTTTGCTGCAGCACCCAGCGCGGCAGCCAGCCCCCCGGTCACGCCCAGTCACGCTGCCGAGCTGCGGAGCTCCCCCGCGAGCGATGCGCCATCGCGCCATCCACAAAACCGTTCATCTTAAGACTTCATTTCTCTAATCCCGCCATGATGAGGGCTGGTCCCGGCTGGGGCCGGTCGAGGGCGGGGCGGGGCGGGGCGCGGCCCGACGACCGGCAAGGGGTTTTATGACGTCACATAATTAAGATGGGTGGCTGCTAGTGCCCAGAAAGCCCCATCCCATCCGAGCCCATCCCGGGCCGTCCCGGGCCGCCAGAGCGAGAGCCGCGCCGTGCCCCGCCGAGCGGGCCGCGCGGAAGGCCGGGGCTGGCGGGGCTGGCGGGGCGGATCCCTGTGCCAATCGGCCAGACGAACCCTCCAATCCACTGCGAGACGTTCGTGCGCCCGTGCCGCCGTGCCTGCGGGACAGCTTTGGGGCGCGGGGCCTAGCCAAGGCCTAGCCAAAGCCTAGCGGCCCGGCGGACTGGGGCTAGAGTCGGCGGCGCGGCGGCGAGGCGAGGCGCGAGGCGTGTGCGCCTAACGGCGGCAGGGTAGGCCGACCCGCCGCGCAGCCGTGTCCGCCGGGCCCGGCGAGGCAGCTTGGCGCCTGGCAGCCCAGCGCGGCCCCGCTCGCCCAGGCCACGACTTTCGCAATTCTTTAGACATGGTTTCCTGGCCAATGTGGCGGTAAAGAAGTCCATTCCCACTCTTAATGTGTTTCTTCATTTCGACCACACGTCGATCAAGATGTTTCAGCATCGCCTGACAGCAGCATTCGGTGTCGTATTTTTATACAGTCGGGAGCGATAGGACAAGGAAGGTCAGAAGAGAGAAAAGGGGTTTAAAGCGAACACGTATATTCTTGATTTTCTTTGGTATATACAACGTGAGTCTATGTACAATGATCGTCGGAACACAAAACACTGTATTGTTTGACTTGCCTAACAATAAAATGACATATCGCATAATTTGCATATAATGATAATATTCGAACAGCTCAACATCAATAATTATTATAATCCATAATAATAAAAAGTACTAAGTACAAAGACATAAATACAAAACAAAGAGAAAAGTCCTTTGGCGTCAAGGGAAAATATATATAGTTAAAATAAACTAGAGTGTGGGCCGTAAGTACAGATGAATATGTGATCGATGCGAGACAAAACAAAGTGCAACTAACATTTTTATTGTCCTGTGGAGGAGACCCAAGATTATACACTTACAGGAGCATTGCAACATTGAACGAATAGAATTTGTACACTTATCAAAGAACGCCTACTATTGTATAAATTTCGCTACACAGTTAATACTACAAAACAAGATATTTTTGCAGTTTAAACCAGGCAATGGTGCCGATGGCAAATCTCGTCGAATAAGCATTACATAGTTAGACCATCCGAACGAAACAAATAAAACAACAACAAATTATTGAGATGCGTAACAAGTGAAACTTTAAGTACGGCGTCCTCACGGCCTGGCGTCGTCATGTCGTATCACCCCAGATCAGCTGGCGACCAATCACAGAGGGAGGTGCCTTGGCGGAGCCCGGCCGCCCCAGAGCACGGCGCAGCCATGGCGCAGGCATGGCGCAGCGACCCGGGAAACGACAAGCAGCCACACAAATTTATTCATAACTCGCATTACTTGAGCTTCTAGGACTCCCGAGGGGCTGGAAGGCTGGACCAGCTTTGACGAAAGCGCAGCAAGCGCAGCAATAACTCGACATTTGCTTTCAAGCGCAGAGGATAATTTCACAAGAACCATCAACACGCCGAACGGCGGCAGGAGTTCAACCATCAACAAGAATGCCGTCCCGACAATCTAAATTAGGCGGCAAAATGCATTCAATTTACCGGGGGTCGAGAGGGGAGTCGACGAAACCCCCGAAATTTGAAAAGAGGTTTGCTGAATCGTCGTGAACTGCCCTGCGTCAGTCTGGAACAGAGGACCGCGCCCCTGCGACAAAATCTCCGCACATTCTTTGGCTTGACAGGGTCACACTCACACTGCGCGTCACGGCTCGAAGAGTAAAAATTAATATCACACGGACTGTAGGCCTGGAACCCGGAAGCGTCCGTCCGCCCCAACCCCGCCTCTCCCGTGAAAGCGAAACCACCTCATAAGCGTTTTTCCTTAACAATCACAAGCCTAAATATCAAGTAAAACAATAAAAAAGAAACAATCCAATCCAACGCGCGCGGGAAATTCATGTGCCGCAAATAGTAACATGATCCAAAAAAAAGAGAGAAAACAAATCGTAAAAAACACACTTCCATAATACTGATGCACATAATATTCTTCCCTCGAAGCTTAATTTTAACATCCAGCACTTAACAAAATCACAGCTCCTATAGAATAAATAGGAAATACATAGTACATAACAAAATTCGTTCTAACAGTGGCCGCCGAACCCCTCCGGGGACGAGGTTCGCGGCCACGCGAGTTCGTTGAGGCGCCCAGCGCACCTGTCGTGGATCCACGCCGCCCTCTACTCGCGCTTGAGCATGAGCTCGCTGCCGTGGTACACGCCCTGCTGGTGGTTGGACTGCGGCCCGTTGTCGAACATGGACACCTTCATGCGCTTGTCCTTGGCGCGCCGGTTCTTGAACCAGAACTGCACGTTCTTGGGCTCGAGGCGGGGGAACTTGCAGCGGTACGGCATGTGGTTCAGCTCCTCGGTGTACTTGAGGATCAGGTTGTGCGGGGGGTGCGTGTGGTGCTTGAACCACTGCTCGAGGCGCGGCACTTCGCTCACCGGGTCGATGAAGGTCCTGTTCCTCTTGCGCCGCTCCTCCGACGCCGACAGGTTGAGCCCCTGCTGCTGCTGCTGTTGCTGCTGCTGTTGCTGGCCGGCGGGGTGCGCGGCGGCCAGGCCGGGCAGGTACTGGCTCATGTACATGATGGAGTGGCCGAACATCGGGAAGGGCAGTCCGGACGGCGGGCCGCACGGCGGGCCGCAGGGCGACGGCGACCGGAAGCCGTGCTGCTGGTGGTGCTGGTGGTAGCGCTCCAGCTGCTGCTGCTGTTGCTGCTGCAGGTCCGCGTTGCCGCCGCCGCCCTCCGAGCCCTCGTCGTCCTCCTCGTCGTCCTCCTCCATGTCGGACAGCGCCTCGCAGTCCTTGACGTGGTTGTTGTTGTTATTGTTGTGGCCGGTGGACGCCACGTCGTCGTCGCCGCCGCCGGCGCCAGGCTCCTGCTTGATGCTCATCTGCGGGGAAAGGCGGCCGTTAGTCCCGGCTCAACGGCAAGCACACCGACGAGGACGTCAGGAGGTTGCTCTTACCCGGCTGTCGTCGTTGGTCACGTCCAGGTCGCTGTCCTTGGTCTCCTTGTCGTCGCGCGACTCGTCCTTGCCCTTGTCGTCCTTGTCCTCGCGGTTCATGATGAGGCTGATGGGGCTGTTGCGGTCGCCGTGCGAGTCCATGTCGTCCTGCTGCGCCGCGGCGGCGCCGTGGCCTGGGCCGGGCATCGGGCCGCCGGGGCCGCCGCCCTCGCCGTCCGAGTCGTCCGACACGACACTGTGGGGGCGCGGCAACCTGCGAGGCAACGGTAACGGTTAGAGACGAGGGTCGCGGCGCGACGAACGAGCCAAAGACAACGAGGGACTCACTCAGGGTGCGGCGCGCGGTGCATGTGCGCCATGGGCGGCGAGCTGAGCGGCCAGGGCGGCATGCCCCCCAGCGCCATGGACCCCATGGAGCCCATGGGCAGCAGGCGGCCGCCGGGGCCCACGGCGGGGCTGGCGTGCGGGCCCTCCGTCAGCAGCGTCTCGGGGCTCAGGAAGTGCGGCGGCGCACCCGACCCGGGCGGGCTGTGGCTGTTGCTGTTGTAGCCGTTCTGCGACATGTAGTGCGACCCTGGAACAAAGTCGGGTTGTTCGAGGGGAGGCCCTTGGGGAGAGGCAACAGACTCGCGATGCGCACTTGCTACTCACCGGGGCCGCTGCTGCGGATCTCGGCGCGCTTCTGCGCGGCTCGCGCGTTCTTGAACCAGTACACCACGTTGTTCACGTCCAGGGGCTTGCGTCCGCGCCGCGACTCCAGGCTGTTGAGCTCGCGCACGTACTGCTGGATCTGGAGGGCGGAGAACACATCAAGATTAAGCCCGGTTCCAGTCTTCGAGTCCACCGATTGCCAAATGACTTCCGGTCGGTCCATACCTGCTGCCGGCTGGGGTGCTGGTTCTCCGCGAACCACCGCTGCAGCTTGGGCAGCTCCAGCTCGGGGTCGAAGGACGTGCGCATGCGCGTCTTGGGGGTCGGGTACTGGTTCTGCACGGTCTGCAGCGCGGGGTGCACGTCCTGCATCAGCTTGTGCGACAGCGCCACGGCGTCCAGGCCGGCCGCCCCCAGCGGCAGGGGCCCGGCGCCCAGGGGTCCCGCCCCCAGTGCCGGGCCGCGGCCCAGCGGCATGGCCCCGGCGTCGCCGGCGTACATGGCCAGCCCCGCGGCGGGCGAGAGGTGCGCGCGGTGCCGCGGCGACGGCGTCCTCCGCGGCTGCTGCTGGGCCGGCTGCGACGCGGGCTGCGACGCCGGCGGCGCGCCCTGGCCGCCCTGGCGGTGGGAGGCCGGCTGCTGCTGTTGCTGCTGCTGCAGCTGGATGGACCACCAGTGCTCGAACTTGCGGCGGACGTCCTCGGGCGGCTCCGGGATGCGGTCGCTGGCCGAGGCGGCGGTGCCGCGGCAGAGCTGGGTCAGCGTCACCTGCGCCGGGAAGGCAGCCGGTTAATCCACCGAGTCACGAACACACCTCGCCTCACGTTTTCGAAATCTGCATGCTTAGCTCCCACCCGCAGCGCGCCTGTGTGAGTGTGTGTGTGTGTGTGCCCGTGTGTGCTCAGCCTAATCTGGCAGTAGCAGTCGGGAGGTAAGCCAGTGCAAACACACACACCACCGCGCCGCCGCGCTACGAATCTGGCCCTTGTTGGAACGTCGCCCTTCCCCTCCCCGGTCCGCTCCCAGTCCCGGTGCCGCCACCACACTATACAGACGTGAGTCTGGTGCAGTCCTGGCCTTGCAGGCCGTGTCCATCTGGACCTGCCCGCTCCGCAGGCCGGCCGGCCCTCGATGGAGCCAGCGTCAGGGAAGTGAGCGTCGTCATCGCGGTGCAAAACAATAAACATTGCGCGGAGTGGCGCTGACAGTGGCGTGAGCCCTCGGCAAACGGGGCGGGGCGGCGGCACCCGGGCCTCTCTCCCTCTCAGTCACACGCACTCGGTGCGGCGGCAGCGCGAGGTGTCAGCGCGGGTTAACATTATCTGGGCGTAGATATATTGCACACCGCTTAGCTGGCTGCTCAAGCCTCAAGCCACGACCGCTTTCCGCGACGAGACGAGACGAGGCGACGCTGAGACGGAGCAGAGCGAAGCGCCAGCCTCGGGATTCTTCATTCTTCCCGCGCTTATCTAGCCCTCCCAGCCCGGCCCGTGTGTGCTGTGTGTGCGCAGCGCGGCTTGGGATGACTGGCAGACGGGACGCCGCGGCATCCTCCGAAAACGCGCAGGTCTTGGAGTTCCAAAGTGCTACAACAATTACCTCGTCCAGCGGGCAGCCCGAGTTGAGCAGCAGTGCCCGCGAGTGTGTCAGCAACAGGCGGAGCAGCTTGTCGCGCATGTCGGACAGCGCGCTGGGCCGGGACCTGCGGGCAGGACAGGAAGGGTCATTTCTCCGGGGGACGGGGAATCAGTAAGGCAAGCGTCGCCGACGACCGCGCACCTGAAGATCTGGATCCGCAGCGTGGCCACGGTGGTGAGCTCGCCCAGGATGTCGCCGACAGACACCAGCGGGCCGTCGGCGATCTTGTCGAAGCTGAGGGGCTTCCAGTTCTTGATGACCACCGAGCCGGTGGCGGCCGCGGCGGTGTCGCGCGCGTAGCCCAGCTGCGCCAGGGCCACGGGCACCAGGTCGTCGAAGGCCGTGGACGCGGGGATGATGACGTAGGAGTCCGTCTCCACGGCGGCGGGCCTCTTGGAGCGCTCCACGCTGCACACGGCCTCCACCACGCAGTGCACGGGCAGGGACTTGCCTGGAACAAAAGAGGAAAAACCGTCAGCGCCGTGGCCTCCCCTTTGCCTTCTCGCGCAGAACCAAAGCCCGCCCCCGCAGAGCGCCGCAGAGCCTGCGACGAGATGGGCCTCTCGCCACAGGCCGCGCCACGCCACGCCGCCGATCCGCCCCCCAAGGGCAAGTGACAGGCGGGGGGGGGGGGGACTAGCCTACTTCTTGCAGGAAGCCCCGCCCAGCTCATGGCACCCCCAGAACGGGGCCCAGCCCAGCCGGGGCCCAGCCGAGAGCCCTGCCCAGACGGGGCCCAGTGGCTGCACTCCTAATCCCCACCGCCTAATCCGCCCCCGTGTCGCAGCCCCCCTCAGGAGGCTCGGACCCCACGGCCGCCGAGGTGTCACAGAGGTGTCCGCCAAGCAGCCCGCCGTCCCGAAGGGTGTAGTGGAATCGGACGCGCAGCCTGGCCAACTCACCGGGCCTCCATTTCGAAACCACGACTTCCGCCTTCACCTCCGCGTCGACAGCCCCGCGCGGCTAACTTCGGCCACTTCCTGCCGCCGCCGCGACGCCGCGACACACCTGAAGGGACGCGGCTGAGCCGCGCGGAGTGTAGATGGGGCGGATAAGGCTGCGGGCCCTTCGCCCTGGCCCTTCGCTCTGGCCGCCTTCGCCCTTTGTCTGGCCGTATTTCCCATTGTCGGCCCTCGCCCTTCCCCTCGCGGCCTTTCGCTTCGATTCGCGTCACTTCCACTCCACTGCGGTAATCCTGGCCGACGCCTCAACTCCATCGCCCCCTTCATCGCGGTGGTGCGGCGCGCGGCCCGCTCGTCGCCGTGCATGTCGTCGTCGGCGTGCAGGTCGGGCCGTCCGCCCGTGGTGGTCTTCCTGACCCGCTTCGCTTCGCTTCCGCTCCTTAGCCGCGCTAGCCCGGCCGAGCCTGGCGCTAGCCTCGGCGCTAGCCGTCAAGAAGCCGAGTCAGCTAAGCAGCTTAAGGCCTCCTCTTTCTCTCCGCCCCAACAAATTCAATTAATGCAGCGGGGAATCGATGGCGGCGGCCTCCGACGCACACGTCGTGGACGTCGTCTTCGTGGCCGCCACTTCGGCCGCCAAGGCCGCGGCTCACCGTGCCGGTCCAGCAGGGGGTGCGGCCTCGGCCTGTTGAGTCGCCTCCAGCCGCGCTGCCCGGCTCTGCCCGCGAGAAAGCCGCGCCGCGTCGCGCTCGCACCGTGTGCTTATTCTTTTTTCCGCTATAAAATAATAACAACTCGAGCCCTTTCTTCTAGTCTCCACGGTCGTTTTGCTCGGCTTTCTCCGGCCACGCCATGCCGGGCCACGCCGGGCCGGGCCACGCCGGCTCGACTGCAGGCCGCGCGGCGGGCAGTGCGCAGCGCGCAGCGCGTCGAGGGAAGGCCAGCCGAGGTATTACGCCCCAGGAAATGACACGGCAGGCTTGGCTGGCTGCTCGGTCTGCTCGGTCGCTTTGGCGCTGCAGGCCGTGCTGTGCCTGGCTGCGCCGGCACTAGTCGAGCCAGCCGGGCAGCCCGAGCTGGCAGAGCCAGGCAGAGCCGCTCCAACTCGCGACAATCCCTTTCGGCGCCAGAGCTCCCGGCTGCGGGGCTGCGGGGGCGTGGCGCGGGGCCCCGCGGGGGGCAGCGGGGGAGCGGCAGCCTGCAGAACAAAGTCCTGAGAGGCCCTAAGCCAGGACTTAAGACTATAGGTAACCGAATGTCCTTCTTTTTCCGCTGCCTCGCTGCTTCGCCGCCGTGATCCGAGCGTTAGAGAGAGCCAGAGCTATCGCCGCACACAGCGCGGGACTACTACTGTGCCGCCGTGCCGCGCAGAGCTTCGCCGCTACGCCGCTACGCCCTCGAGCCGGGCAAAGCTAGAGCGACTTGTATGTAGGAAGCGACCCCAGCACAATCCTTCTTAGCGGGCTTTCGCCATAGTCTGCGTTTATAATAAGCCCCCCGCCCCTTTCGCCCGCACCCCCAACCCTCCACCCCTATCCGCCACTCCCCCCCCCCTCCCCCATTCCCACGTCCCTTATTCACCTGTCCGTGTGCTGCAAGTCGCCGAGCCTAACGAGATTAGACATTTCTATACACAGCACACTGCGAAAGTATGAGCCGCACGCCCTCACGCCTCAACAGTCCTCGGCGCGGTGTGGCGTGGCCGGGCGTGGCCACGGCACCGCGCGGTCCCGGGGGATTTCAAAGGGAGCGACACGGCGACGCGCTAAAGGACTCGGTAAGCTCTCGCGGGGCGTATCTCTCCTTTCTTCCCGCCAAAAAAAAGAGGGAGAGGGGGGGGGGGGAAATCGCGCATCCATTGTCGCCGCGGCCCGCCGTCCATCACCACGGCGTCACGCGCTAAGTCGCCGGCCGCATATTTTTAAACAAATCATTTTTCACCGCGCGGCCACATCGAACACTCATCAGCGTGGGCGCTATACGGGCACCAACAAAAATAGAAACTCAAAAGACGACGACGACAACAACAACAAAACAGCAAAAACTGTCGCGCGGCGCACGACGACGTTCTGGCCGAATAAGCTTAACTCCGCTTGAAGCTTGAAGCCACCCCCGCGGCCCCGGCCGCCCGGCCCCACGGGACACGGAACTCGGCGACGAACTTGCGCCGCGGCGCGACACGCCACGCCACGCCACGCCACGCGTCGCGGTCGTGCCGCGCGGTTCCCAGCTAGTTGCCAGAGCGACGAGGCGCGCCGGATTAAAACCCGAATTAGCAACTGATTGGCTTCCCTCTCTATATACACTCTTGCCCGACCTCCGCGCCCCTCCACCCTCCACCTCCCTTCACCTCGAGCCGCCCCCGCCTCCCTCACCCTCTCCTCCCAGTTCGTCACCACGCAGGTGGAGCAGCGATGAGCCGCGCGTGCGCGCGCGCGCACACACACACACACACACACACACACACACACACACACACACACACACACCAAACACAAACACAGACTCGAACGACGACCGCGGGGCTCAGTGTCTCGGCTCCTTATTTCTCCGTTTCCATCTGTCTCTTACACAGGCAATAATCCCTCCGCAACCTTTTTTTCCTGATCGCGTTTTCGCCAAGAAGGGGCTGAGCTTATTTGAACGGATGTGAGCCGCTCTCTCTGGGGGTTGTGTTGGGTTGTCGGCGGCGCGCGCGGCGAGGGAGGGGAGGGGAGGGGAGGGGAAGGGGCTGAAACCGCGGGCACATGTCAAACCGCATCGCCCTGGAGACGGGCCGGCGACACGCGCCGCCGCGCCACCGGCGAGGAGGACAAGCACAGCGTGGAGCGGCAGGCCTGCGGCAACCACTTCCACCGCGAGCGCCAAGTATTCCGTGTTTCCCAATCCGCCTCCTGCTCGAGGCGCGGAGGGACCGGCCGGGCCGCCTTGCCTTCGCCTTCGGGGCAGGGCGAGTAGTATCTGGTGAATCTCGACAGCAAAAAGTCCCCGAGCGGGCGAGCAGCGGCAGCCTGGCTGCCCTGCCAAGCAACGCTGGCTGGATCGAGTTTGATTGATAGTGGCGTGGCGTAGCGCGTCGCGGCCTCGCGGCGGCAAGCCATGGCAAGCCAAGCCGCGGCAAGTGGTGGCGGAAGCGAGGAAGCGCGGAAGCCATCCTCGTTGCGCCATCTTTTTGCTTAATTACGTTCAAAATTATCTGACAGCGTAAATCTGCGGCCGGCAGCGTCACTCCACTCCACGGCGCGGCGCGGGGTCGCGTGGGGTGTGTCAGTCACTCCGAGATCGAGTCCGAGATCCGAAAGCGCGGTCCGGATTTCATTCCTGGCCGCGCTGGCTGCCTGCCCGGTCTGTCCCGCCAGTGTACCGCCACTTCCTCGGCAGCGGCGCGGCACCTCCCCTTCGAGGCCCTCATCGCCGTCCTCGAGGTCCCCGACTTGTTCACGACCTCCTCGACGGCGACACCCGCCCGAGATATCGAATCGCCATTATTACGCGTCCGGTTTCGGTTGCCGCGGAGTAATCATCAGCAACCCTTCGCGCCTCCGTATGCAAATGAGGGAGGGCGAGCGGCGAGCACCGCGGTCACCGCGTGGCGGCGCCACACTCGCACACAGGGAGACAACGCGGACAACCAGCAAAAACAACAACAACAGTTTTCACTTGTTGTGTTGTTTCTTTTTTTGCAGTGCCTCCATCATAACTGCGTGGTGCCGATCCGAGGCGCGCTGGCTGGCTGGCTGTCAGCGTAACGGGCGCGGCGTCGCGGCGTCACTAGCCGAGGCGCTCCACAAGACGGCCGGGGAGGGGAAAGGGAGGGAGGCTCAGAGAAAGAAGGGAAGCCATCGCCAGGAAATGAAGAAAATGATAAACCAAACGGCGCGGCGTTCGACTCTCGCTTCGGTTCTGTGTTGATTGTCATTGCGACGCCGCGACGCGCTCCTCGATTCCCTCCCGATCTCTCCGTCTCTCTCGCACTCACGGGTCGGCCCCCTAGGCCCTAGGGGGTGCGAGAGAGACGGAGCGACAAAACACTGTGCGGAATCGCTCTGCTGCTCTATCTCGCCACCACCCCGGCCGCCCTATCTCGCGGTGGTGTGCCCCCACCCCCTCTTTTCCTCCAACCTGGCGGTGGTGGCGCTGTTCCGGCCGCGGGGGCCCGCCCCGCCCCGCCCCGCCCCGCCCCGCCCCGCCCCGCCCCGCCCCTCCGCCCTTCCGCGAGGGAGACAGCAGGCAGCGCGGGGCGACACCTCAATTTGTCATAATCCTTTTCGCGGACGAAAACGGGGAAAACGGCGACGCGGTGCGGCGCCGCTCGGTCAGCATTCCGCACGCTTCTCGCGGCGCATCGCGGCACCAGCACGACGCACTGCTTGGAGGCCACGAGGAGGAGGAGGAGCATTAGGGCAAGAACAATGCGCGAGGAAACGCCGCGGACGACGACGACGCTGGCCGATGCGATGAGGCATCATAAGTTGGTCACTGCCCCCTCCCCGCCTCTCTCTCTCTCTCTCCCGCATCCTCGGGGGGCTTTTCCCTTTCTCCCCACTCAGCA